CTACAAGTCCTGTAACCAGTACTGATACTGCCTAAGAAGGCGAGTAAAAGGCTTTTTATGTTTTACAGGTGTATTTCTGGTGCTCTGCATCCCCTCCCCATCAGTGTCATTCTTGTAACGAGTACACATAGCCCTCGCCTGTGTGTCCTTCCTTCCCTAGAAACGGGTCAGTAAAAACAGGCACAGGGATGTGGAGCGGGGACATCTCCCATCCCGCAGCCCTTGGAGCTCGTGGTCCAGAGCCGAGGGCTCTTGGCCAGCCCAAGCCCTGGCGGTGCCAGCCCCGACACGCAGGACGGTTCCTGCAGATTGCTGGGATCTGCATAACTGAGCAGTGGTGAGAACGTGCTGTTCTGTGGGGTTCGTCAGGGGCTGACGTGGGCTGAAGGGACCTTGGCTGGTGACCTTGTCCAGGCCCTACACAACACGAGGGGAGCGTGTTTCTGTCTCTGAGAAGGGTCACCTTGCAGTTGGTGGCTGGCTCAAAGGAAGAGCTACCAGTGCTTTTGACTGCGACGCTGACTCTGTGAGCGTGTTTTCTGGAGAAAACACGTGCAAGAGCACTCTAACATCTCCACAAATGGGAAAGCAACGTCAATTTTCCCCAGGAAATGTTTGCTTCCCTTGGTTTTTGCTACAATTACTGGGGCAGAATTTAGCTCTGAGGAAGGAAGTGACAGTTTGAAAAGAAGTGAGATGTCAAAAAACAATGGAAAAGGAAAGGATCTAGATTACAAGGCTTGATATTGTAACTAAGGTGTGACGTTACCCTTGTCTCCTGGCCTGGAAATACCTGTTAGAAACCCGGGCAGCTGCCTGTGTGTGGCAACGTCCCGTCCCCCTGTCCCTCCCGGCCAGTGGGGCTGCGTTCCAGCTCCCTCCTGACCTGCACCCCCGGGTGCAAAGGGCTGGAGCAGGGAACGATACCTCAGCATGTGAATCATCAATTGGATGATGTGAAACCAATAGATCGAATGAAGTAATGAGATTCCAGTTCAGATTCTGCAGCGGGATCAGTGGTGGGTGAGAAGTCCAGATCTGCAGTAAGAAACAAGCCCCTGCTTCCCACTGCTTGCAGCCTGTGTGCAGGACACATCTGGGTTTGTGGGGGAATGAATAAGTGATAAACCTGGTGGATAAGCTCCAGGCAATCACCGGGATGAGAACGGGAGCTCCATTAAAGTTAAGACGGGCACATCTGTGCGCTGCAGAGTGCAGCAACTGTTCGGAGACAGCTGCCAAGGAGAACAGAGAAGCTGGGAAGCCAGAGAACAGCTGTGAAGCATTAACAAGTGACCAAAAATGAGCAAGACTAGAGAAGCTGGGGTAGGATGGGAAGGCCTCACGAGCTCTGTGATAGGTTTCAACAATGATTTGTTTGTCCAAGAGGGTAAAATAATGAATGGTTTGATGTCTCAGTCACTCCAAGGAACCCAGACTGGAGCAGTATGTGGCAACGTCATCTGTAGAGCTTTGTGTCCGCTCTTGTGTTGTTATCCGTGGGTTGCTAACCCAGTGTAGAAGTGCTGCCCAGATGTCCGTGCCGTGCTACGCGCGTGCCGTGGCAGCGCCGTGCCTTCAGCAACCTGGGAGCAGGATCGGGGCTGGCTGACGCTGTGTGCTCGGTCGGGGCTTCCTTCGTGCACGTGGGCTGCAGCCGCTCAGACCGGTCTGTGTTACCGAAGATGCGCGGGTTGAAATCGGTACCAAGTGAGGGAAATTCGAGCGCGAGTCTTGAGAGAACCTTTTTGTGCTTCGGTGGTGGGCGAGAGGCTCCGGGGTGATACCAGTCACTGTTTGTGGGACAAACAGACCTCTGGGCCGTTCTTCCCTGACTTTTTTTGCAGTTCTTTTTTTTTTTCTGTGTGTTGTTCTTCTAACAGCACAGACTCCCCTCTTCCAGGAGGAGGTTTTGGCTTTCCCCAGCTCGTGCTTTTTGGTGAGCGTCCAAAGTGGAGCAGGAGGAGGGCAGCGGGGGGTGTGGGAAGCCTGTTTGTCTAACCCGTCCTATGGAAAAGCAAAAAGCTGTTTCCCAATTGAAGCTGGCACCTCTTGGTGTGTGTTTCTCGGTACAGGTAGAAAAGTTGGGAAAAGATGAGGTTTCCTAATTCTTCAGCAAACACGAGTGCCCACAGTGGGAGGACAGAGTGTCGCGGTGTGCGCTGCTCGGAGCATCGCCGGTGTTGGACACCGGAGCGTGCGGGTGGTCGGTCGGGATGTGGTATAGGTTTGTGCACCTCCTCAAACTCGGAACGTATTTAACAGTTTTCTCCGGAGTAAAAATACCCTTTATAATATTGCTAAGCTGAAATCCATGTCTGTGGGTCCTGAAAAAACCCACCACACACACAAAACCAGCCAGAAGGACTCAGAAAGACTTCTCTCCCCCAGTTCCCCCTCTCCTCCATCTTCCTCACTCTGCACTCAGTGATGAGCGGAGCAGATGGCACAATAAACTATAATAAACTGCGTAATAAGTGAACAGCACCAAACACAGCCAGCATGTTAAAATAACAGGCAGGAGACAATGAGTCCCGTATATTGCTTTCTTTAATAATCCCTCCCAGGCTTTCTGATTTCTCTGAGCACTTTCCTTCGTTTTGCATCAGGCAGGCTGCACCCGAGCCCCCTTCCCACGTGCCTGCTTCCTCAGCCTTCAGGGGATGTGCTCAATCTGCATGGCAGTGTCTTGCTGGGCTGATACGAGCCCACTTCCACCAGCGGGTTTTTGGCATCCTTTGTGAGAGCGTTTTGCTCTGCCTCCTGTGGACCCTGAGACCTGAGGGCACTTGGCCACCAGAGGAGCCGGGGCGAGCAGCAAACCTTCTGGTCTGCGGAAAATGCCGATGGAGGAACTCAGGGAGAAAGGAGAGAGACCAGATGAATGGAAAATCACTGACATCTGGCTTAAAGTCCAAGAATTACACATGGAGCTCGTGACGGGGCAGAGGATGGAGTCCCTGCCCGGATGGCCCAGCGGGACTGCGCACAGCTGGGAATCCGGCTCACCCACGGGGGTGGGAGTCATGCCCTGCCCTGGGTGGGCACCTTGGCACACACCCAGGGCATGCAGCAGCACAGACAGGAAGGAGGCACTTAAAATGGCTGAGCACGAAAAGCTTATACGGGGTGAAATGGACAGTGCCAGCAGCCCTGGGCACGGTCCCGCCTGATGCCCTGGGGAGCGGGAGAAGCGGATGCTGCTCCGTGCGACACGCGCTTGGCGCTTTCTCCTTCCGTAACGTTTGTTCAGTCCTACCAACAGTTGCTTTTCAATACTTCCATTTTTTCCAGTGAAAACTACATTTTCTGTAGAAATCCAATACTGTCCTTGAAAAATGTGCGTGTTGCAGCTGTTAGGGTGGCTGTGGATTGTGGGCAGAGGGGAGGCTGCAGGTCTGCACCCCAGTCTGCAGGGCTCTCCCTGCAGCGCACCCACCCTGTACCCGTGGGTCCCCCCATCGCCGCCCTGTACCCGTGGGTCCCTCCGTGGCCACCCTGTACCCATGGGTCCCCCATCGCCGCCCTGTACCCGTGGGTCCCTCCGTGGCTACCCTGTACCTGTGGGTCCCCCATCACCACCCTGTACCCGCGTGGGTCCCTCCGTGGCCGCCCCCCTCACCTGCTTGAGGATCTGAGCTGCCATCAGGTGGCTGCAGTCGAAGATGATGCGGAATTCCCTGCCCCGCTTCATCTCCTTCAGCAGCGGCCGCGCGTCGTCGGTGTCCAGCGGGAGCTGGCGGATCTTCAGGCGGATGTTGTACCTTGACGGGGCCATGATGAGCTCTTGCAGCCGTATGAGGCCTTCAGGCATTGCACAAAGACAAACCCACAGTGTTACAGGACAGTCGGCCTTTGCTCTGCACGCCGGGTATCACAGCAAGTTATTTCCTCCTATATTATTTTATGGAACGCAAGCAGGACTTTTCTCCCTCCCTCAAATGCCATCGAAGTGCGGATCAAAGCCAAGGTGTCAGGTGTCAATCATTAACACCCCAGATATTTCCAGAGCCATTGTTCTAAGGCAGGAGGGCTTTTCCTGGTGTTCCCCGCTGCTCCTGCATCCAGCTACGGCAGAGCTGGGTCCCTGCACTCGGTAGGAGGAGAGTAACAGATTGGTCCTAACCTTTGACATCTCTGGGATCATGACGTATTTTCTTAAGCAAGTATGCCCTTGAGGAAGGACAAAATGTGATAATCAGCTATACAACAAATTAAAATCTGCAGTTTTTACCATGCACGACAGCAAAAGAAAAAAATGAATATGCACTTAGATTTATGGATAGCATAGTTCATAATGGTCACTGAATCACAACTTGTAACCATCTCGCTACCCTTCGAATTCCTTTCTTTTTTATGCAGAAGGTACAAAGCCATGCTGGATGCAGCTGAGCAGCAATTATTGGTATCTAATGTTGCAGGAAGAATCACAGCAGATGCCTATTGCAAGGAGGAAAAGAGAAGCATGTCCCTCTGCATAGTGGAAGAAATACATTAGAATGTGCCACGAAGGGAACATACTGTGACCCACATTTGCAAAACAGGAATGTCAAACTGCGTTCTCATCAGCCCTCCCCTAAAGAAACCATTTGGTTTAGTGGAATGAGGTTGGACAGGCTATCCAATGTGTCTTTTGTTTTGGGGGGTTTTATCTATAGTGCTGTGCAGTGCTTTGCTTTGTTCAACCGTCAACAGCTTTCCTTGTGTGAAGAACTTTGTCGCTATGTTTGATAGAATTAGCCAGAAAACAAAAAACTTTCCAGAACTGCTTTTGCTCTTAGCTGGGAAACTGCACCCTCAATGGCAGCCGCAGACCGGGCTCTGTGCTTGGGTCGATGCCCACGGTGCCAAACAGAGCCGGGCCGGATCCCACCAGCGGATAATCGATCCCCCCCTCGGCCCTTTGTCGCTGTGGGGGTGCAGAGGGTTCGCCCGTCTCTGAGCACTTTGTGGGATAAGTGCTCCAGGAGGGATCCCAGGGCTCCTACACCGCCTGAGTGCTTGGGAACCGGCGTGTCCCCGTGCACCGACACTGCACGGGGTGTCACTGTGATCCTAAAAGGGTTCATCATAAAAATTCCTAAATGGGACTCACAACAAAACATCTCCCGGATTCCTCCTTTAAAGCCCCTCCTTTACCTACCTGTACTGTCGTCGTACACCACAGTGGCTGACCTCCACTTCAAATACTGCACGAGGTCCAGGATGGCGTGGCTCAGGGACGCGTAGTCGGGATACAGGTTGACATAGAAAGTGTCCTTGTTATCCAAAGGGTGATGCTTCCATCGAAGCTGTATGTGGGGCACTTCCAGGGCATTGCAAATAGACTGGACGGCATTGGTGCAGGAGCCCTGGGAAGGTCCGAATATTGCTACGACCCCCAGAGCGAGCTGGTCACAGGCTGGAAGAGGAAGGGAAGAGGAAAGGAAGGGGAAGGGAAGGGAAAGGGGAAGGGAAGGGAAGGAGAAGGGAAGGGGAAGGGAAGGGGAAGGGGAAGGGAAGGGAAGGATGCTGTCAGTGAGGTTTGGGGCACCTCTGTGGGAGGGGTGAGCGTCGGGGCAGCCGTGGGGCACAAACTTCTTCTTGACCTGGACCACGGAGCAGTGGACGTACGGATGAGCTTCCGGGCACTAACAGCAGCGCAGACATTAGATCATTACAACAGGGAAGAGAGGCAGAGAGAGGGAGGAGGAGTTCTGGCAGAGGAGGGTCTGGACCAGTGTTTAGAGGCACAGGGACATTTCCAGAGCGGGGAATAACGGCTACGGTGTGTTAGAAATGGCTGAGCCTCCAGAGTTGTGAAATGAATACCCAGAGATGGTCAGAATCACCCTGACAAATGCGATTTTCCATCAATTTTAACAGATTTTTTTTTCCTGAAAAATAATGCTTTTCATAGCTTTGTTCAAGTTTTCACTGAGAAATTAAAAGAGAACAATTGCATTTGGGGCTGTGTTTTTAGGGGAGGGGCAAGTTTAAGTTTTTCAGAGGAACAGGAACAGATTATGTCTCAGCTGCCTCTGCAGGTCCTTCCAAATTGAGGACTATCAGCAGAAGCTTCGTGGCGGGCCAATTTTATTTACAGGGGTTGGGG